CTCTCTCTCTCTCTCTCTCTCTCTCTCTCTCTCTCTCTCTCTCTCTCTCTCTCTCTAGTCAGTAGGATTAGCCCACAGTTTTGTGGCAGGTGAGCTTTTGCAACATGAAAAGAAGCTGCAAGTTTGCAAGACAGCATTTGCAAGTTGTCACACCACCAACAGTGTAATGTTAGTGTACTCAGACAAGCTGAAGCTTAGTCAAGAATGACCATGATGACTTCTCATATTATCTTTTTTTTTTCTTCTGTTTAACTACAGAGATCATGGATTGCAGATGTTTGCTCCTAATTTAGTTAAATAATTCATTATTTTTGGACTAAAATGATGTAATTCCTTGTAAAGAAAAATTATCTTATTTGTGGTATTACAGACCTTAGAAGAATCTAATTCATCTTGTTTCTGTCAAGCCATTTAATTTTGTGTAAAATGTGTAAATTATGTTTAGAGACAGCTTGAAACACAAGAATGCAAGAAGGAAGCTAGTGCACTTCTCTTTCAACTCATTATGCTCCGAGCATAGGTTAAGTAGGATGAGTTCTTGGGATCTTACATCCCACATTGCATTCAGCTCCCACGAAAAGAAACTAATAAATCTCTAAAAGAGTATTAGTTTGAGTAGAAGTAGATATACTAATTAATATTTTTAATAAATAATACACTTTTTTTTTTCTATTTAATACTCTCGAAATGACACTTTTATTTTATTTATAAAGAGTTTTTTTATTTTACTTACTAATAATTTAATCTTAGATCACTTAATAGATTATACCAAAACCTCTCTCTTTTTTTCTTATTTTGAAGTGTAAGTAAAAGAGTGAAGATATCAGTGGCACCTCAAAATTATGTGTAGTGTGGAGAGTATCTTATGCAAAAAATAACTATATAAATAAAATCTAAGCATCACATATCTAATCAATTTGTATAATCTTATTAAATTGATCAATCAATTTTTTTATTAGGCTGTGTCATGATATCTAGCACATCTTATTTTTTTGAAACTTTTTATTTAATTAATATACTTAAAACCGATTTGTATGCATCCATTAGTTATGAAATTGATTGAAATGTGAGTATCCAATTAGTTAGCTATAATAAAATTTAAATTTTAGACTTAAAAGATTAAAGATTTATAGTCTCCTATAATAAGCTTTTAGATATAAGACATAAGTATTATACTCGATTTATTCATTTATCAAATATTGAGATTTTTGATATCTCATCTAATAATATACTATAATATTTATCTAAGTCAAAAAATCTTAATTAATAAAAATATTTAATCTAATATTAATTAAGAAATAAAAGAACTAAGGTCGTATAAGCCTCTCGGGTCATCTTTACCCTGTTTCTTTACGAGGATTTAATTTTAATACCTTTTAAGATTCATGAGTCTACAGATATATTCAAAGCGGATAATTCTTTAAGTCTACACGATCGTATCGAAGATGATCAAATATTAATTTTATCATTATTTTTATTGATTGCACCATTGATAGTACATATAAACGTCGGTAAAAAGACTTTGACTTGAACTCCTCACACGTTGAGAGGCAGCAAAGTGACATTAGAAGACCCACTTACTTCGCTTTTGACTGCCTCCCTGTCCTCATCGACCTTTACGTGCCTCTCTCGCTCTGGAGGCGTACCATTACACCGTAGAAGAAGAAGAAGGCTCTCTCTCAGATCTCCCATCGTTTCAAACAAGAGACAAAGGAGTAGGAGTCAATGAATGAAACGGACATCGCCTTTATTAGTCTTCTGCTGGGCCACTCCGGCCACCTTCTTTCTTCCTTCCATGTGTTGATCATGTAGGAATGATAATAACTTGAATTGGACATGCGTTGAAGCAATGTGTTGGCACCACTTGACCCTCTTACTAAATCGAGATCGGCATGTCACATATACGTCTAATCTTAGTACGTGCGCATGTCCGTCGATGCGGCTATTGTTTATCTTCATGGAAGCTAAATTTGCACCTATGCCATCGATGTGTTCTACTGTTTCTCGGGTCCATCACGGCACCAAATTTACTATGATCTCACGATAATCAAAGCAGTGATTAGATGATACATGTGGGATACTGATATTTACCGCAGCACCTTATAACATAACCACTAGTCTCTTGATGGGTTCGTTTTGATGAGAGAGAAAGGAGAACGACAAAATGGCCACCCATCATCTCGGCCGTCCATCGCGGTGGGTCGTTCAAACGAAACAGAGGTCACCGCACAGATCGGCGCTGCTCGTCTCACTTCCCTCCCCCGCCGACGCCGCAGCCACCGATGACTCCTCGTGCTCCAACCCGAGGAGCGCCTCCAAGCTCGAGATCCGCTCCCGCAGCCCCTCCTCCAGCGACGCCGAGCACGACGCCGAGCTCTCCTCCTCCGCCCAAGCAGCGGCTCGCCGCTTCGTGGGGGGTTCCGCCGCGGCTGCGGCTGCGGCTGCGGCTGCTGCTGCGGCGTAGTCGCTGGGGTTCGGGAAGTT